AATGAAATTATGGTATCATGAATGGATTATTAAGGCCACACTGATTTAATTTTATGGATGACATCCTCTGAAGACCCCAAAACTAATGCGAGAGAGCGAAAAAAAAAAAAATTCGGCCAAAAAAAAAAAATGCTTCTAAAACAGGACTACGGAGCTATTATTACGAATTTAACCACAGTGTATCAAAAAAACAAGTCTTAATTTGTAGGAGGCACATGCTGATGTACACATTTCGTACTGTATTACTGTCACAGGTATCATCACTTTTGATTTTGAAAAGGCAAGAGGATAAGGCAGATGTTAGCTTTGCCAAAGGCATACACATCAACTCAATAATAAAGAAAAACTTACTGTGTTGTATTGAAAAAAATAAAAAAATAAAAAATGAACAATAAGTTTGTCAACAGCAACCTGGAAATTAACTTCTTTGACATTCAAACTACAGCTTTTAAAGTGACACTTCAGATAGACTAAGTGTAGATACTAATGCTCAAGAACTACTTCAACTATGTAACAAATTATAAGAGGCTCGATATTGAAAAAAAAAAACACCAACAGAGAGTCAACAAAAATTTGGATGCAGGATGTACATGCATCTTGATGAAAATGGGTCATATGATCAAAATATTACTGAATGTGTGTGCAAGCAAATTATCTGAATCAGAAAATGAAAAAAAAATAATAAGGGGACTTTGGCCAAGGAGCTTCTGCTGCTTTCGTTGCAGTTTTGTCGACTTCAATGCGGACAAAGCAACCGAACTGATTTGTCGCCTGACCGACTTTTAGGCCACCATACACCTCCACTCCTCTCCCATTTGTCTCATTGCAGAAGAAACGCGGGACAGCCACTCTGGACAATATGTTCTCAAAGTTGTCTGGGAAAAACTCGCTTGCCGCTACCGACCTCTCGTATAGCTGTGTAAACGTCTCCCTGGCCAACGTCAATTGCGTACCAGTCTACAACAATCCCTCCGTTTCACCTCTGAACTTTTATGCTCACGTATTTTGGTGGTGTGGTCGCCATGTTGGATCATTTATGGCAAAATTTGCATGTTTT